GAAAATTGATATTAGTGGTACTGTCAATGTTTGATATTACCAGGGGTCCTTGTAAGGGGGATTTTGCAGTAATTTTAAGATTTTGATAGTTAAAAAGAAAATTTAGGTACAGAAAAACAGATGGTAAGACAAAGGAATACTTTAAATGAAAAACAAGTTGAAAGACATTGTAGAAACAGACAGTAGACCAGGATATTGTTAAGCATCAGAAAGATATTTGGATATTTAGGGAAAACACCAGAGTCAGTGGTGGAACCAGCCTGGCCAATACCGCCAGGAAACGACATCAACATTTCAAGAAGAAACAGTTTTCTCTGACTTCCTGTGTACCACTTGCCAAGAAAACAGAAACGTTAGAAGTTGAGAATGAGAGATGGATCTAGCACTGGATAGCACTGGCCATGTGAATGTATACATGGTAACAGGAAAGGCGGACAGACTGAAGGCTCCCCAGCACTGAGGCTCTACACTCTAACAGTGTATACAAAGTAGAGGCTCTACACTGGGGTACCCCACCAGTGTATACATGGTAAATAAAGATTCCCCAGCACTAAGGCTCTACACTCTAACAGCTATACAAAGTAGAGGCTCTATACTGGAGTACCCCACCAATGTATACATGGTAAATAAAGACTCCCCAGCACTGAGGCTCTACACTGGGGTACGCCACCAGTGTATACATTGTAAATAAAGACTCCCCAGCACTAGGGCTCTACAATCTAACAGCTATACAAAGTAACTTGAGGCTCTACACTGGGGTACCCCACCAATATACTCACGGTAAATCCAGGCTCCCCAGCACTGAGGCTCTACTCTCTAACAGTGTATACAAAGTAACTTGAGGCTCTACACTGGGGTACCCCACCAGTGAATACATAGTAAATAAAGACTCCCCAGCACTGAGGCTCTACACTCTAACAGTGTATACAAAGTAGAGGCTCTACACTGGGGTACCCCACCAGTGTATACATGGTAAATAAAGACTCCCCAACACTGAGGCTCTACACTCTAACAGCTATACAAAGTAGAGGCTCTATACTGGAGTACCCCACCAATGTATACATAGTAAATAAAGACTCCCCAGCACTGAGGCTCTACACTCTAACAGTGTATACAAAGTAGAGGCTCTATACTGGAGTGCCCCACCAATGTATACATGGTAAATAAAGACTCCCCATAACTGAGGCTCTACACTGGGGTACCCCACCAGTGTACTGTATACATAGTAAATAAAGACTCCCCAGCACTAAGGTTCTACACTCTAACAGCTATACAAAGTAGAGGCTCTACACTGGAGTACCCCACCAGTGTATACATAATAAATAAAGACTCCCCAGCACTGAAGCTCTACACTGGGGTACCCCACCAGTGTATACATAGTAAATAAAGACTCCCCAGCACTGAGGCTCTACACTGGAGTACCCCACAAGTGTATACATAGTAAATAAAGACTCCCCAACACTGAGGCTCTACACTGGGGTACCCCACCAGTGTATACATAGTAAATAAAGACTCCCCAACACTGAGGCTCTACACTGGGGTCCCCCACCAGTGTATACATAGTAAATAAAGACTCCCCAGCACTAGGGCTCTATGCTCTAACAGTGTATACAAAGTAACTTGAGGCTCTACACTGGGGTACCCCACCAACATACACACGGTAACTCCAGACTCCCCAGCACTGAGGCTCTACACTGGGGTACGCCACCAGTGTATACATTGTAAATAAAGACTCCCCAGCACTAGGGCTCTATGCTCTAACAGTGTATACAAAGTAACTTGAGGCTCTACACTGGGGTACCCCACCAATATACACAAGGTAACTCCAGGCTCCCCAGCACTGAGGCTCTACACTTGTAACAGTGTTTACAGTTATTTGAGGTTCTTTACCTGCGTACTCCACCAATAAAAATATCAAACCCCACAAAACTTTTACAATCAAAACGCTGTTGTTGATTGTATTTTGTCTATTTCGTCTTCATTATTTCTCATTAAATTCCCGCAAGGTATGTTTTCCCTTCAGAAATGATTTATCAAAGCTATAGTCAGGCAGGAACAAACGTTTCCTACGTGTAGTTATAATTTTTTGCAGTGGTAAGGGAATACTTTACCCTTTCACCACTGTAGACCATAATGGACTCATCCAGATCGATATATGGTAGAGTCTACCAAAGTTACATAGGGGTGAAGTCAGATTGAAAGACTGTGGATACTGGATATAAAGTGTATATTAGGAGACACGGAATTCTAGTGGTAGGACATCGGACTCGTGACCGACGGGTTGCGGGTTCGAGTCACAGCACAGCACTGTGTTGAATCTTTGAGCAAGATATTTTACTCTGCTTGTTCCAGTCTACTCAGCTGTAAATGAGTATGTGGTGAGTACGTGGTTTGGCGGTGCTGGAGTTATTGAATGCTAGCTGTGAGCGCCGAAATGGCAGCTCTGGCTGTACGCTCCCCAGGGAGTTGAGAAAGATATTGGCTGGCTGCAAAGGCCGTATAACCACGGATAATAATTTGTGAACCGCTTTGAGACGACCAACAAACTAGGTTGTGATAAAGCAGTAAATACGAACCTCAAATTATTATTATTAATTATATATAGTGGTAAATTTTGTAAACTGGACAGGGCTGGAATGAAGGATGTTTGGGAAAGGGGTGTTTACACCACTTCAGTAAATGACTAAAGAGGAAGGGAGCTTATTTGGGGGTGGGTGATAATTACAGCAAATACAATAGCTCCAGGCTCCCCAGCACTGAGGCTCTACACTGTGCAGTTAAAGGGTGTGTTTATATCCCTTCAATAAGTAATTAAAGAGGAGGGGAGCTTATTTGGGGGAGAGGGATAATTAGACCAGAAACGGTAGCTCCTTGCTCCTCATCATTGAGGGTCTACACTGTGACAGTGTATACATTGAAACAGGCTAGGATACAGCCTGGAGATAATCATCAGAGGAAAAAAAGGCTAACAACAACCTTAACCTGTTCACCCCTGAGGTCACATTTTAACCTTACCAAATCAAAGGACTGGGTAAGTCCAGTTTAAATATGTAGGGGTGAATGAGTTAAAACATAAGAACAGCAACAAACAAGAACCCTACGGTAAACCAAACACTTCAGTACCAAGGCTAAATCATGTCTTTAGTCAAATACCATTAATCTGATAAAATCTCTGAGGAAAATTATATCCATCCTACCACTACCAGACTTCTAAAAGCTCTTGTCTATTTCCAAAAATATTGTTTTCAAGTACATAAACATTTCACAAATTAACCTCACCCAAATTCCTTTTACAACTCTTAACCCATATCTTAAGTCGCTGTAATAGTTGATCGAAGATTCTACAATTTTTTTTTATATTGAAGAAAACTACAGATACCGTGTCTGCTTTTCTTAAACTGTTTATAGATGAAGCAGACTCCCGTTTCACTTTTTGTCCAATGAAATTTTTAAAATGTTGAACAATTTCAAGAATTTCTGGGCAGAACTTGACATGTAGGTAATTATAAGGTCCATCAGTGCCTCTTGTGGCAGCCTGTAGCTGTCTGTCTGACACACCTATAGGTTCACAATCAGCTTCACAGATTCACTGCTAGCCTCAGTGTTTCACCAGTCATCCTAAGACTCAGGGATTCCCCTGCTAGACTCAGGGATTCCCCTGCTAGACTCAGGGATTCCCCTGCTAGACTCAAGGATAGTCTCAGTCTTTGGGATTCAAGGATAAACTCAGCATCAGGGTTCCCCTCAAGAGATTTAGTCTAAGCCTCAGGGACACCCCTGCTAGCATCAGGAATTCCCCTACTAGACTCAGGGATAGTCTAAGCCTCAGGGATTCCCTTCCTAGCCTCAGGGATTGTCTCAGCCTCAGGAACTCCCCTGCTAGCCTCAGAGATTCTCCTGCTAGCCTCAGGGATTGTCTAAGCCTCAGGGATTCCCCTACTAGCCTCAGGGACAGTCTTAGCCTCAGGAATTCCCTTGCTGGCCTCAGAGATTCTCCTGCTAATCTTAGGGATTGTCTCAGCCTCAGGAATTCCCCTGCTAGCCTCAGGTATTTTTCCACTAGCCTCAGGGATTCCCCTACTAGCCTCGGGGATAGTCTAAGCCTCAAAAATTCCCCTGCTAGATTAAGGAATTCACCCTTCCGCTTCAGCCTTAAGGACTTTCAAGCTAATCTCATGGATTTCCCTGCTAGCCTCAGGGATACCCCGTTGAACTCAATCTCGGGGATACCCATCCACCTAAGTCTTCAACCATCAACCTCAATCTCAGGACTTTACTGTCAGTCAAGTCTCAGGAATTTACGACCTGACCACCTGACAAACTCACCATCAACCTAACCTCATGAATTCAACGACAGTCTCATAAGAGATTCCTGTAACCATGAGTTACACTAATATGATAAATGGCTTAAAAGATGATACGGATAATTATTGATCAAAAAGCTTTGATATTTGATTCCACTTTGCTTCGGTCAATATCACAGCTTTAAGGTTAACAAGTATCCATCATCACCTCAGAATAAGTCAATAATTGTAAAGTGTACCTACAGCAGTAAAGCATGTCTTTAAATAAATCATGATGATGTGCCATGAACAAACGCCATGAACAAACGTCATGAACACGTCATGAATGCTAGTCATATGTATATAGCTGAAAAACAAGTTATGACTACAATATAGTAACTATATTTTGTACAGAAATTTTCGCTCAGTCAAACTATCGTCCTTTCCCGATAAAATCCATATTTGCCTAATTTGAATTTGTCCTTCACATTTAATCACATATAAGCTTTTGTTGCATTTTTAAGACAGTATATTATGCTGTTTACTGATGTTCACTGTAATAATAAATTTGCCCTTGTTCCAGAGGGCGAAAAAGGCGAAATTACGCTGCAGCCAAAATCTCCCGGTATACAATATATAAATAACTCAATCATCTGGTGCTGTGCTGTAAATTTGAAGATTTTGTGACGCACCTGGCCAGGTGTAAACAAGACTTACCTTTAATGAGTTTGACTACTTCCAGGTGGTTAGAGTTCGTCACAAGAGTACCATTGACCTAAAAACACACGAAGATACAGGTGTTAAAATCAAAATCACCAACTACAAAATATTACTATCTTCAGAGTCTCAAAAAGTTATTGATTTAAATTATTTTATTCAAACAAAATGCATTTTAAATAAACTTTTATCAATGTTGCATTTTTTTTCTAAATTTGATTAGAACAAATATATTTGAAGTTGCCATATAATGTGATGTTATAATCTAAGCCTGTCAGAGTTACCTCCCTTTGGCTCACACAAGACTTTCCACATGTAATGAAAATTTCTTTTTTTGCTTTGAATGATTATTGTTGTAACACTGAACATGTATTCTGTATCTGGAAAGAATTACCACAGTTTTTCCCTCCTATAATGATGACAAAATTACCACAAAAGGTAAATAAAAGTATAAAGTTCACTGCATAATCACAGTAATCCAATGCAAAAGGTGAAACTAACACAAGGATAATACAGGGTTTTAATTGTGATGAACAAAAAGTTGAGAGGTTGGGGAGGGCTAAATTTTGTGAAGTGTCTTAAATGGAAATCGGCACAATATTAACAAACTATCAAGACAAGTGAAGAGCGAAAACTTGAGAGGACAAACATTTTCAGGTTACACAGTCCTCATCAGATTTGGACAATATATTAACCCTTTCACCACTTGTAGACCATAATGGACTCATCCATATCAATGCATGGAAGAGTCTACTTAAGTTACATAGGGGGTGAAAGGGTTAACAAACTATTAAGATCCTTAATCTGGAAGTCAAAAAGAATTAGGATTTTGGTATTTCAACTTCCATGTCTTTTCATTGGTTAGAAATTGTCTTCAAAATTTCAAATAACTAGATAACTAGTCAATGGGTGAATAATCACATAAAACCTAATAAACAACCTGGACACTTAGTAATTTTAGACATTACAATTGACTGCAATAACTTTCAAAATTTTCCCAAACAGACACTTTTTTCAAGTTTTTCTGAGAACAGAAAAAAGGGAGGGGCACTTACTAGTTTAAATACTACAATTAAATCAAATTTATTTTAATTTTTAACAACCTATGGAAAAATGTAAGCTTCTATTCTACTCCATATAGGTTTACTGATGAAGGATTGAAATATTGACATATATTCAGTTCAAATTTATTTTATTGCATCCCTTAGTTTCTTTGATTACTGGGTATATTTAATCTGAATAAAGCCACCGGCACTGATACTTTTAATTGTTGAAGCTTCTTAACTTGCACTCTACCCATTACCTCCAAAAGAAATACAGTTATCTCCCTTACACCAATAGACATATGGTGTTTAATGTCCTATCAAAAGCTATGGTCATTTAAGGATGGCCTCCCCTGTGTGCAAGATGCATGCGTGTAGTGTATGGGTGTGTATTTTGGGAGGCTGTGATATGTTGGTGTCTGTCTCCTTTTGATAGCGCGGAACTGATACCGACTTTATAGTGCTACCTCACTGAAACATACTGCCACAGACACCCATCAGGACACCCCACCTGGCCACATTATACTGACAATGGGCGAACCAGTCATCCCACTCCTAAATTGCTGAGCGTTAAGCAGGAGTAGAAACTACCTTTTTTACAGACTCTGGTATGTCTCGACCAGGGGACAGAACCCAAAGCCTTCCTCACAGGGGCGATGCTCAACTAAAGGCCAAAAGTTAGGCATTGTCAAGGGAGACATTAGGAAGAAAAAAGTTGTTTAGAAAGAAGAGAAAAGATTAGTCGCCTCTTACAATCATGCAATGGGGGCAGCAGGTACAATTCTTACGCCCTACCTGTCTTTGGCTTTCTACTGAAGTGAGATGTATAGATATTAAAACCTTTTCACCGATGAAACCCCGTTTACGCGTGAAATAACTTTGTATTCATTTTTTGAGAGTGGGTAGATTGTAAGTTGAGAAGCTAGAACAATGAACTCATTCACCCCTGTAATTTCATAATGAACTATTCCAACCTTTGAATTGGAGGAGTTCCAATGTGTCTTCGGGGATGAATGAGTTAAAAGTATCAGTGCTGGTGACGTTAATAAGATTAGATATTAACAAAGATGATAAGGATGCAATATGTAAGGAACTAGAAAATGTCTGTAAGACATAAATGTCTCCTTTCATGGATGGGACAGGACAAGACAGAACGGGACGGGACGGGACGGACATGGGCAACACTATATGCCCCCCCCCCCCCCCC